GTGAATAACATGGCCTGCAAATAGTCCAGATCTCATTCCATCTGAAATCTCTAACAAAAATTAAGAAAATGGTCAATGACGTGGCTCCAGCAGTAAGAGACAGTTGGAGCCAGATTGGTGAAGAGTACTGTTTGTTATTATTTAGGTCCATGCTTCAGAGAGTTCAAGATGTTATACAAGCAAATATAAAATATACTTTGCCAATGGCAGTGTTTTTATTTCTCATGACTCTGTATTGTTTTCTTTGTACCTGAGTGATTCCATTATTTTCCCTCTATTTGATCAAAAAAAAAAAAAAACAATATGGACTGGCTGCAGCAATTATTTCTCTTTTTTCTATTGTTTCTTGATGCTAATTAGAATTTTGAAAAAAGTTTGTTTTGCTGCATGTCTGTGATTCTTTTTTTATTTATTTTTTAGAACGCTCTTCAAGAGTGGTGATAACTATCCACAGTGCGAAAATACAAAATAAACAAGATGTCAATCACTCAGTTTCTCAGCTGGGTTAATGTTCCTATTAAACATCTGAGGATGTATTTAACAGGGTTTACTACACTACTGAAGGGGGTTAAAAAACAAAATTGTGAACCTTTTGTCATTCCATACCAAGTAATTTATGACCTACTTGACTTGCCATATATTTACTTCTCATCACTCTGCTGCTCTCATCCATAATCAATAAAAGTAAAAACACAGGGCTTCAAGCTTCTGTGTTTCATCTGAACTTAATAAGGACCGCCTTTTTCCAGAACTACAATAATTTAGACTAATTTCAAACACAAAGTAAATGTGACCCACAGGAAATTTTAAATACACAAATAGATACATACAGTAGTGCCCGCACTAAAGCGCTTTGGTCTGATCTTTATGGAGTCTACATGGTTTGACTTTTTTATTACACAGACTGCAGAGTGAGTCAAAAGTCACAGAACACCCTTTTATTTCAGAAAGGAGGAAATTACGTATCTGAATATATTCGAATACCCCAGCAAGTAATCTTTAGGCTCTGTTCAGAACATGGCCACCAGTTTGAAAGCCACCAAGTTTTTCCAAAGAGCGGCACCCCACCCCACACTTGCTGGGGTATTTAGGTTTGTCACTTTCCCGTTTGTTTATGAAATAAAAGTGTGTCCTGTGGCTTTTGACTCAGCCTGTACATTAAAAGGCACAGTAGTAACAGACAGAAAAAAAGGAGAGCTAGCCATGCAAGGCTGGTAATGTGTCGATGTGCGCTTGTTTCTTCTGAAATGTTGTTAAATTCATTGTCAAACTTCTTTTTTAAAGTGTTGGTCACCCGTCAACCTTTCTCGCTCTCGATGCCGCTGAATGGCTCGCCAGATCCGGCAAAGGACTCCCCCCCTGAGCGGGAAGAAGACACGTTACATAACCATTCTGAAACCTTTTTGAATGCTTGTTTCACTGTAATTTTAATAGTTTTACCAGGTATGAAAGTAAGTCATTTCTGCATTACTCATGTCTACAGTCATTAGTAATGACTACCGTCTTTAGGTCTGCAGCTTTAATCATCMGTATCAATAAGTTTTGCAGACAGACAGCTCTTGAAAATAGAAAAACAATTTCATTTAACTTGATAAATGGATTCCAGAGTATTGAGATAAGTTAAAGCAATTGGAAACTGATATTGATGGTAAATTTCAATCTTCAAAAGTAAATATATATATA